TTTTTCTTTATGATGATAACTGAAGTTGCTTGCTTCCATGTTTTCAGTTGTTTGATGGTGTGATGATTTATTTTATTTTTTTGTTTAGGTCATGAAGGATTTAGCTCCTGAAGAGGCATATGTAACTGCTAATGTAAGCATGGATTGTGAGGAAAGACCCCATAAAGCTGAGAGTGTCCATAGAAGGTATTAGTGTTACTTTGACTGCAAATATGTGCATATATACTGTTTCATAGCTGACATTGTTACGAAAACTACCCGGTCNTTTAGCTTAATTATATATATCGATCTTTTTATCTTTTTTCGTGTGCGCTCATGATGTTACGAAATGAAGAAGAGAAGGAAAAACAGCATTCACTAACACATAAAACACATAATAAACAAACACATAATTGCACATCATTGATTTGTTTCATTTGAGTATCATCTTAACCTTCCTTTTTGTCTTTTCATCTTAATTTTGTACTTTCCCCAACAGAAAACTTTGGCAAAGGTTGTTTTTTAACAGCATAGACTCGGTTATCATGTTAGTAAACTGCATGGCCATCTTTTCACGCATAAAGATTGTCAATGAAAGCAAAGAGAATTGGACTTTGCTCGTGTTGATAGCAGCTTATCTTCTCCATCTGTGGCGTAAGCTTGTTCGCGCAAGACGCGAACCGAAATTCATCAGAGGGCTTGCCGAAATCTTGGTTTCAATCCTGTTCCTCATCATTCTACTTTCCTTCTGATTATTGTCTGAAAATCATTCTGTCAAAGCATTTTATGAGCATATGACTGATCGAAATCCTAAAATGCAAATGTGAAGTGATGCTTTGTCTGTTGGCTGTGTTTCCTCACAATCAGAGTAAAAATTTGAAATTGAAATGATATCTTAATAGCAATCTAAAAGCTAGTGGTTTTAATTTATTTATATAATAATTATTGTTTCGTAAAAAAAGCAAAAAGAGAAATTACATAGATAGCCTAGTGACTGAAAAACAAGACAAACAAACAACGGGACCAGTTATGTTTTGAGTATGAATTGCGTTTCAATTCCGTATGTAGAATCTTGTTATGGTTGAATATGTGATGCGGTAAGAGTCGTTAGGTTCGATTTGTGGCATAGAAATTACTTTCTCCTTTAAGAAAAAACTGGTAGAAACTTGTGTAATTGTCTCCCTCGTCTATATGTGATGGATACATGTTGATATGTTTACCAACTGTTGAACTGATGCATATATACAGATGCTCATATAAGTGAAAGTTCACATGCTTTTGACGCGTGATTGGTGGTAGATTAATGCGTTTACGTTGAGTAGGTAGAGAATACATGACTTTGCCCATAACAATTGTCATTCCAACTAACAGGGATTGACTCAAGTGGTAAGCAATTTGATGTCGCTTAAATAAGGTCTCGAGTTCGAGTCTTTGTGGATACAAAAAACTCTTGTTGGGAGACTCACCCACCACTGCCAAGTGTGCAACACGGGTCGACCAACGGATTAGTCGGGGCATAGCTCTAGATACCGTAACTGACTAAAAAAAAAACAATTGTCATTCCACAACGGAAAACTTCAAAATAAGATAACCTCTACCAACAAATATATTAATCAATCCACTTCATTTTTATTTCATAACCATAGATTCATTAAAAACTAAAGCCAATGCATTTCAAAACCATAGATTCATTAAAAACTAAAGCCCATGCACAACTGAAGGCTAACTAGCCTTACAAGAACAACAACTCCTCACAAAGAACTACACAAGTGTGATCTAGACTAAATGATACAAAACAACAGATGAAAAGTCCTTTTTAAATAAGACTCTTAAATTATATTCCTGACTTGTCTAACAGGACAAGATCTCTTACTTAAGATTAAATAATAATATTAAATTTCTAACTTATTCTCCAAACTACCTATTAAATAATAATAATAATAATAATAATAATAATAATAATAATAATAATAATATATACTAGTCTACACCATTCACCCCTGGTTCAGAAGGCTTCCTCCTCGAAGTCGATGCGCTACTGTGGCTAGCGTGTCGAATCCATGGTAGTAAACCCCCAATCGCGTCAAGGACAATAATCGCCAGCGAAGGCTGCCTCCTAGCGCCAGTCATTGTCGCTGCGTTGATCGTCGCCGTCCGCGAAGACCGGGCTCTGTCGTCGCATATCACGGGCGTCTTACGCAATGAAGGGCTTAGCCTCAACGTGCGGAGGTTGATAATCGCCGAAAGGTCCACCTCCGATATTCTCTACTCACTGTCTTCATCACGGGATGGTGGTTGTGGAGATCTCTGGCGGGGCACCCCGCTTGACCACGGCTTCCACGTCCTCCGCGAACTTCCCCGCGCAATCCCCGGTTGCCGGCGTCACGTTTCATCTGCAAATCCTTAACCATGTTGTTGATCCTAAGAAGCACTTCTTTGATCACCATCGAAAAATTCTCAACCCGACAATCTAGTAGATTGATCTGGCGGCCGAAGCCCATGGCTTGTCGATCTGAATACTCAATGGTGGCGCCACGCCCCTCGATGTCGTCCTTCAGCGTTATCTTGAATCGTGTTGAATTCTGATACCAACTGATGTAGGGACAACGTACGAGTGAGACAATATCAATGAGATCGCAATCTCAAGAACACATAAACACGATATCAATTTTGGTTTCATTTTCAATGAGATCGCAATCTCATTTAATAAGACAAGTTACCAATTAAATAATATAATAATAATAGATTTGTCTTGCCTCAGAAAATTCTAAATAACCCAGATGTTTATGTCATTCTACAACCACCAAAGAATGTATGTTATTAATTGAAAGCGATATAAAAGTATGGGTCCATCGAGCAAACTTTGGAAACTTGCAAAAATATAAAAGTCGTGCCTTAACAGACCGAATTTGAAAACTTTTGTTTATAAGTGGCAATTGAAGATAGACATCGTGAATTGTTTTACTTATTTGTCTATATATACATTTCATTCAAAATTTCTCCACAACTTAGGTGGGATGATTTAGTTATGAAGAGTTCAACTATACAATCCGTACTACATATATATTTTTTTTATCATTAGATCAACACACACGTGAAACGTCTGTAATCCAACGATAAAAAAAAAATAATAATAATAAATTCAAAAATTTTCCTTGGATTACAATGTAGAAGAATTTCAGCCGAATATTCTGCCCAAGGAGATATGTGCACCACAAAATTGCACATTATAATATTATATCAACAATGATATTTAGTTAATATTACACAAAAGAAATTACATTAATTACATTATGTAACAATATTATTATGCATTTACTTAAATATCCACAAATTCCAATTAGTGGCAAAAAATAAAATAAAAATTAAAGGGTCAAAATAGAGAAAAAGGAGGGGAAATTTGACTGGTCGAAGCGAAATGGAAGGGAATATACCGGCAAACATGCCAAATGGCCGCACCATATAAAAACCCGCCAACCGACAAAAACACTCCCAAATAAGACAAAGCCTCCGATCATTATTACAATCAGAGTTTAACTTTGTTTTCTCTCTCTCTCTCTAATTTTCTCCTTAATTCCTCGTCTGCGTGAGAAGTTCACCAGGTTGGTATTCTAATCTATTCAAATATCTGTATTTTTTTTTTGGTTGGTTAAATGATAATTTTAATTATAGTGAAATGCTACGTCCCGTTACAGAACTATTTCGTCGGATTTATAACCGTTAGATCATTATGTAACCGTCAGAGATAGTTGATCTTACGGTTACAAATCCCGACAGAATGATTCGTGACGGGACCGTAGCATCACCCTTTAATTATGTCAGGAACATGTTAGCCTATACTAGTTTTTTCTCTGTTCTTTTCTTGTTTACATTTAATGTTAGGGAAGTTACATCCTATAAGTGAGGAGAAAATGTTTTAATGTTGGATCATCATGCACACATCCACATGTGTTTGTGTGTGTGTTGATCAAACGATAATTAGTTATCCTCACATGTAGGTCGTACGTTTTTTGTTATATAGATTCGATCATTTAATCACGGGAACGATGAATGTTACTAGTAAAAGTTGAAAAAGAATTTCGTAATGCTCTAATAAAAAATATATAAGGTGTTTTATCATTGAATTATACGTACATTTACATAGATAATTGTTTATTTAAGGATAAAAAACTCGTTGAGTGACTCACATGTAAATTTTATATAATTTTTATTATGGGATGATGCAATTAATATAAATGTAGCAGTTATGCAATTGATTAGATTATAGATATTAGATACTTATATTGATATGTATCAGTTATGAGATCAATTAGCAAAACCTTTACACTTCTTCAAGGTAAATAAAATTAACTTATTAATTGACCGTGTAGAAACAAATTGATACACTATAATTGGGTCAATTTTTATTTTACCCTTTTTAATTTACCATAAAATTATTAACAAATGGAAACCCACAACTCTAAAATTCTCCTGCAGACAGAGAGAGGCGGCAGCGTAAGGTCGGAAAAAGGAAAAAGAAAAAATGGCCTCCGCCGCCGCCGCCGACAAATCCACCAACCTGAAAGTCCTAACCGCCTTGGACTCCGCCAAGACCCAATGGTACCACTTCACCGCCATCATCATCTCCGGCATGGGATTCTTCACCGACGCTTACGACCTCTTCTGCATCTCCCTCGTCACCAAAATGCTCGGCCGCATTTACTACCACGTACCGGGCTCCCCCAAACCCGGCTCCCTTCCCCCCAACGTCTCCGCCGCCGTCAACGGTGTCGCCCTCGTTGGAACCCTCGCCGGCCAGCTCTTCTTCGGCTGGCTCGGCGACAAACTCGGCCGGAAAAAAGTTTACGGCGCTACCCTTGCCGTAATGTGTGCTTGCTCAATCGCCTCCGGCCTTTCCTTCGGCTCCACACCCAAATCCGTCATGTCCACTCTCTGCTTCTTCCGATTTTGGCTCGGGTTCGGAATCGGCGGCGATTACCCGCTCTCCGCCACGATCATGTCCGAATACGCCAACAAGAAAACCCGCGGCGCGTTCATAGCTGCCGTTTTCGCGATGCAAGGGTTCGGGATTCTCGCCGGGGGTGTTTTCGGAATGGTAATGTCGGCCGCGTTCGAGTCGAGGTACCCGTCACCGGCTTACGAGGTCGACCCCATTCGGTCGACCCCTCCGGAGGCGGACTACGTGTGGAGGATCATATTAATGGCGGGAGCTGTTCCGGCGCTCTGCACGTTCTACTCGAGGATGAAGATGCCCGAGACCGCTCGGTACACGGCGCTCGTGGCCAAGGACGCGAAGCAAGCAGCTTCTGACATGTCGAAGGTGCTCAACATGGATATCGAAGCTGAGCAAGCTAAGGTGGAGAAGATCGAGAGGAAATCGGCGTACGGGCTTTTTTCCCAGGAGTTTCTAAAGAGGCACGGGCTTCATCTTCTGGGGACTACGAGCACGTGGTTCCTGCTCGACATCGCTTTCTACAGCCAGAATCTGTTTCAGAAGGATATATTCAGGTAATAATTCTTGTAAACAACGTTATTGTTTTGTAAGAGATGAAATATAGTCACTTCCACGATTATGAAAGCATACAATACTACAAATGACATAGACTCTACAAATGGTTTCTATGGAATCCGACACTCCAGAAATGGCTTCTAGACAATCCATAAACCATTTCTGGAGTCCAGATTCCATAGAAACGATTTTTGATAGTAAAGGTAATTATGTCATTTCACAGTGCAGAATGACTATATTTCATCATTGAAATCAACATTGTGGCTATATTACGTTTTGGAAAGTGAAAACGGCTAAAAGAAATGTGATTGCATATATTATATATATATTCAGTGCCATAGGGTGGATTCCCAAGGCGAAGACGATGAGTGCGATTCGAGAGGTTTTCACGATTGCCCGGGCACAGACATTAATCGCGCTCTGTAGTACGGTCCCGGGGTACTGGTTCACGGTGGCCTTGATAGACGTGATCGGGAGGTTTGCGATTCAACTCATTGGATTCTTCTTCATGACCGTGTTCATGTTTGCGTTGGCATTCCCATATAATCACTGGACGAAGCCCGATAACCGGATTGGGTTCGTGGTTATGTACTCATTGACTTTCTTCTTCGCCAATTTCGGGCCCAACGCAACGACTTTTGTGGTCCCGGCCGAGATATTCCCAGCTCGGCTCCGGTCGACTTGCCACGGAATATCGGCCGCGGCAGGGAAGCTCGGGGCAATTGTTGGAGCTTTCGGGTTTTTGTACCTGGCGCAGAATCAGGACCCGGCTAAGGCGGATCCGGGTTACCCTGCTGGAATCGGGGTGAAGAACTCGTTGATATTGTTGGGTGTGGTTAATCTTTTGGGGCTTTTGTTTACTTTCTTGGTGCCGGAGTCGAAGGGGAAGTCGCTGGAGGAGATGTCGGGAGAAAACGAGGAAAACAACGACGAGGGCGAGGGAGAAACGAGTCGAAACTGATCATCAACTGTTTTTTTTTTTTGGGGGGGATTTTTTCCCTTTTGTTTTTCATTTTGTGTTCTTGTTTGTTCATTAGGTTTTGTGGAGAAATAAACAATGTTTTAATTTGTTTTTGCTTTTTCTTTGTTTGGTTTTGTGTTTGTTGAGGTTAGGTTTTCAGGTAGACTGGTTTTCTGATTTGATCTAATTGATATGAAGAGTTTCACTGTGTCTTGAATAATTTGGTACTAGATTTTAGTGAATGGTATTTTTATTTTTATTTTTTTTTAGATGTAATGCTTTTTTATTTGTGTGTGTTGGGCGTTTAGGATTTGGTTTTGTTATGTGGCATTACGGGACATTAAGTTTGGTAAAACTAGCTTACCAGAATTTACAAAAACTCAAAACTGTGAAACAAATCATAACATTTACTGCTCTCCTACCCACGGTGGACATATGTTAATATGCTCACCGTTTATGTGGCATGCACATGTTAACATGCCCACCGTAAACGGTGGGCATCACCATTGTGTGCATGCCACATAACCGGTGAACATATGAACATGTGCCCACCGTGAATAGGTGAGCATCAATGAACATTTACTACGTTTACAGTTTATACTTAAATTTTTAGCTTGAGCTCCTTGAGGTGAATGACATTTAATGTTCGACAATATTTAATTCACTTTCTAATGACTAGCATCATGTTAAATGTGATGAATCATTAATTTACTTTTTATTGGATTTAATCTTTTATTGCTCTTGTATTATGAAATATAATTGGTCCAATTTTAATTGATCAATCTATACAAATAATTTCCTATTAAATTGATGCATTCGATGTATTAGTTTAATTCAACTTTTTTATTTTTTAATATTATTCCAATATGAATTAGAGGTACTCATTAATTGACATGTTTCATAAGATCAGAGAGATGCTACGGTCCTGTTACGGAACCATTTCGTTGGGGATTTTAACCGTCGTTGGGGATTTTAACCGTTAGATCAGCTATCCCTGGCGGTTACATGATGGTTACAAACTCCAACGAAATAGTTCCATAACGTGACCATAACATTTCTTAGAGATGCTCTAACAAAGTTTTCGCTACTGCCAGATACATTTCTCCTATCGGCAATACAATAACTCAAGGAAGTGGCGGGGCAAAGTTGCCAATTCGCTGTTGTCCCGTCGAGACCAATCGAAACGTCGTCGTACGCATACCCTTCTCCACAGTTCTTGATCGCAAGAAGCGAAGCAAAAACGAGGAGAAAGCCCGCAGAAAAACACAAAATCCATCACAGCCCATAAACCTTGAATCTTTGTTCCCTATAATGGATTCCGAAGGTATACCTATCTTTAACTACACATCTCATAGTTTTTTTCCCCATTTTTTTAATTGATTTTTCTGATATTTATTTATTTATTTATTTATTTTGGTAATATTGTTGACAAATTTGTTTAGGGCAACGAGTTTCTTCGAACCCATCGGCAATGCTGGCGACCCTTTTATGCAAAAGGGCTAAGCTGCACGAAGACCTCCGGATTATAGAAAAACAGGTGGAAAAAAATGGTCTTTTTTTTTTTCCTTTTGTTAAGGTTTTTGTTTTACATTTGTTGAAGTGTACAATGTAATGTTTGTTAAACGAACTTTTGTTCTTGGAATAGGTGTATGATATGGAGACGAGTTATTTGCAGGATCCAAGCCAATGTGGCAATGTCTTGAAAGGTTTTGAAGGGTTTTTGTCATCCTCCAAGAACACTACTCTGTAAGTAGTTTTATTTTTTATTTTTTTATTTTTTTTATTTTTTTTCTTTTGGTGTTGTTTATACTTTAGTAAAATGCTAAGGTCCCGTTACGATATGGTTCAGTCAGTGTTTTTCACCATTAGATACATGTAGATTATGTTGGGTAGATAATCTACGGTAACAAGCACTGATAGAATCATTCCGTTAATGAGACTGTAGTTGTTCCCTACACTTTAAAACTTCATTTGTTCTTATGGATATTTTAGTTATCCGTAACACAAAAACTCGAATTACGGCATGAAAATCATGAAATAAGATTTTTAGTTAAATTTGGACTTCTTATCGTATACATATGACCAAGTAAAACAGCTAACTCAAAAACATGATTAGTGAAACAAGAATACAATATGATAGCATGATTTTGCACCCATTTATAAACCGGCTATTAAGATGTGAAATTTTTATGCTAACATAGACCACAATGCATTCCTAGGATTGGTATACTGAATTCGTTTCTACTTGTTACCTTTGGCATTGTCTTGTTTTGAAATTCTAAGAATGTTGTTTTGTTTCTTTATCCTCTGTTATATGATCCAAGATTGTCATTTTCTTGTTTTTCATGTGCAGCTTGAAACGATCCAGGAAGTTTCAACCTGAAGACAGACTCTTCTCATTATCTTCTGTCACATCCCCTGCTGTAAGATTTTTCTTACTTCACACATAACATGACATTATAATTTTTTAAATATCATTCAAGTTGATATATTTGGTTTATGGTGTGTGATACATGAATTTTACCAACTTGACTTAGGTTTTTATCGCAAGCCTAATCATGCCCGATTTGTTTTGACATTTTTGTGATGACAATCTTGCATGTCGTAATGTGGCTGTCGAATGAGAAAATGACCGTTGAAACTTCAAGAATGTTTGTTCTTTCAACCTTATAACTGTTGGTTAACTCGAAAATGATAGTTGCAAGCTTATGCTCTGGCCACAATGAACATATTGCAGCTCGAATTTGAGAATTATAATATTTTACATAACGTCCTTGTGTTACATTACACTCACTGCAATTTTCTTACATGTGCGTGAAACTTTAATGTTTTCAACTTGAAATTTGGAACATTTTATGATGTTCTTGATAGTTTTAGCTGTCTGGTGGTATTTGATTTTATCGTATGTATTAGGCTGAAGAAGTTGCAAGAGATGGTGGTGTCTCTGCAAACGGACCGTAAGCATTTAACTTTTTCTTTTTTCTTTTCTATATATGTATAAAAAAAAATCCTTGCTACTAAGCTTGCCCTGTATTATTCACAGTCACATAAGATAATTACATAAATTATCTGAGATTTACTCAAAATTAGAAACAAATTCTATGTAAATCACACGAACACTCGCACATTTAAAAGATACTGAGGAAATCCTGTTATTTCTGCAAATCCATCTAATTTTTTAGCGTGTGTTGCGTATTTGTATTACGAATTGTCAACATTTTTCCAGTGGAAAACCGAGGAAAGGTAGAGTGCCGAAGGACGCAAAGAGAAGGCAGTCTAGCGAAGCTGATTTCGACTACGAAGAGGATCCTGATTTGATGTAGTGGCACTCATGAATGCCCTACTCGACTTTCTGAATTTGAGCTACCATTTTCTGTTCTTTTTTTTAAAAAAAAAAAAATTACTATTATCCAGATGTATGAAGCAGTGTATAGGGTCACTTGAAGCTCACATGTTTATATGGAAATTTATCAGTGTATCATAGTTATGGATCTAAATTCTAATTGCTCTACTCAGAAGAAGTTTATGCTTGCTTGTTCGTGTTTTTCACTGTTCATTATCTTTCGAGTTTACACTTTATCACATGTCAATTAAAAAGGGCCCTTCGACATTGAAGGAGACAAGTGGTTACACGTCTTTTGAGGGATGGGATGTTTACCCGGTTGATGGACGACAACCATTTTTGCATTCGAATATAAGACAACAAGAAAGAAGCTCCCTTGGCCGGCGTGCGAATCGGTACTCCAACTATAGAGAGAGTGTCGATATGATTTTGGAGTAATCGGTTCTCAGTAGTGATAAGTACGCAAGTCTTCAGAAGCTCCCTTGGTCGGTTTGCAAACGGTACTCGAACTATGCAGAGAGAGTGTCGATATATATGATTTCGAAGTAATCGTTTCTCAGTACAGATAACTAATGTAAGCAATGTATTCTAATAACCCGGTCTTAATTGGAAAAACGTTATTTCTACGTACCTTTCCGACGTAAAAGATGAGATATTACGATGTATAGATATAGAGATTGTTGATTATGAAGCATATATGAGACTTAGAAAATAACACTATTTTTTTTATTTGATATCAAAACTTATATATACTATAATATCTACTATATTAGCAATACTGTCGATATTCTAATTGGACCGATTATATAACAATAGCTAGACCGGCATGACTACCAATGCGGTATATCTCCCGGTATTTAAAACAACTTTATTTCCTTTCCATTTATATAGTCCTAAAGTAAACATTACAAATAACAATTTACCAACCACCCCACCTCAAAAAAATAAAAGTCACCTTAATGTGTTTTGGTAAGCATCATAAACTAGCTTATACATTATTTTATTAGCTTATAAGCTTCTTATATGCAAATAAGATTTGGTTTGATAAAAACGAGCATGTTTAAAAAGTTCGTGTTCATTTCATAAATTTATCTAGATAACTTTCCAAATAAGTCCGTTTAAATTTTTATTTCAACTGACTGATCACTAATTTATCAAACACTCTATCATATAGTTTTTCAGTCATACGTCATAAGTTACCAGTTACAAATTCGAAATCCAGCTATCAACTATTAACTGACTTAATAGTTATCAACTAACTGATTAGCTAAGTTTACCAAACATAACTTTAATTTTCTCTCTCTTTTTTTTTTTTGATCGGTAAATAAATTTTATAGATCAAAATTGATTTTACATCGACCGTCTCGCGGCACACAAGAGCAAAGTGGGTAACCACAAACCGGTTCCTCACTCGCTAATCAAAATGATGAGCTGCAAACCACAGCTCGGTTGCTCAACTCAAAGTAAAGTGGAACCGAAAATAAAATCATCGTGGGATGCGGAAGCTATTTTCAAGGGTTTTTCTCTCCATGTCGGCAAGGACATTCGGGTACAAAGCGAAAATACTCCGGTAGACGTGGGTTTGAATTTTTCGGATAATGAGCTCCGGAGATTGTACCTCATTCTCGAAAATCTTCCTATTCCGAGCATTCCAAAGGAAGTACACCGTGGATGCGAGCTCCGCTTTTATTGCTTTTGTTCTCCAACTGGAGCCTTGGGATTCTTTCTTAATCCACTCCAATGCACTCTTTAGTATAGAGAGTTGTCTCTTCAATCCTAGCCATTGTCGGATGTCTAGCCAAACTTGAGCTGAAAGGGGGCAAGCGAAAAAGAGATGATCGTCAATCCTAACCTTAATTTTCTCACTACCACTAGAGTGGAGACTTGTACCTCACGCTTGTCGACTTGTACCTCACCATTCCACCTCCACAAATCGCCACATAAACCCCAGCCACAGACAACCTCAGGCCAAGTGTTGACCACCATGCAAAACATGTTGCAATCCCACCCGCCACGTACGCACTCCCATGCAAACAACACATATTTTTCTTAATTTCTCCGCTTAAAAAAAAAAATTAAAAAATAAAATAAAAAAGCCCCCAGGTGTCACGTGACCAGCAACCCCTCCCATGCAAATAAATACACCTTTTCCCCTCTATAAATAAAAACCTCAATTTCCCCACCAAAAAACCACCCCATTGAAAAATACCCCAAAAAAAACCAAAAAAAAAAAAATGGCCCATAAATTCCTCGCTTCCCTTCTCCTCTCCCTCCTGGCCGTCTCTTCCGCCGTGGCCGAGAGAGGCTCCTCCCCCCGCCTCACCAGCCAGCAGCAGTGCCGTTTCCAGCGGCTGACCGCCGCCCAGCCGTCCCGCAGAATCCAGTCCGAGGGCGGCTTAACCGAGCTCTGGGAAGAGCGCGAGGACCAGTTCCAGTGTGCCGGCGTTGTTGCCATGAGGAACACATTAAAGTCCCATGGACTCTCACTTCCAAATTACCATCCTACCCCCCGCCTCGTCTTCATCCAGAGAGGTACCTAACCTACCTATAACCTACCCAACTACGTCCAAATCAATTCACAATGCACGTATCAATGTACTATATTAATTTGAAATGTATTGTTACCATTTTCCTTCTTTTATTTTTTTTGCAGGACAAGGGTACATAAGCATCATGTTCCCCGGTTGTGCCGAGACTTACCACGCGCACAAGACCCAGCAAACGCGCGAGTCCACCGAGGAATGGGAGCGCAAACAAAAGGGAAGCGTAAGGGATTTGCACCAGAAGGTCCACCGAATCCGACAAGGAGACATTATTGCCATCCCACCGGGCGCGGCCCACTGGTGCTACAACGATGGCAATGATGAACTCGTCGCCGTCTCCATCAACGACATCAACCACATGTCCAACCAGCTTGATCAGAAATTCAGGGTATCCAACATAACCAAAAAAAAAAAAAAAGAATCTAATATTTTCATAAAAGTTGGTTACGATTTTTTCTATTTTTTTTGGCAGGCGTTTTACTTGGCCGGAGGAGTACCGAGAAGCGAGCAGCAGGAGGGCGAAGAGGCCACATTCCAAAACATATTCCGAGCCTTCGACTCGACACTCATGGCCGAAGCTTTCAACGTGTCGCCAGACATTATCAAGCGCATGCAGGCAGAGGAGGAAAAGCGCGGGCTTATCGTGCTGGCCCGCGAGCGCATGAGCTTCATCAGGCCCGAGGAGGAGGAGGAGGAACAGTACAAGTACGGCCCGAGACAGTCTGATAATGGGCTCGAGGAGACTTTTTGCAGCATGAAAATCCGCACCAACATCGAGAATCGTAAGGATGCCGACATCTACTCCCGACAGGCCGGGAAAGTCCACATGGTTGACCGCCACAAGCTCCCAATCCTCCAATACATGGACATGAGCGCAGAGAAAGGCATCCTCTACCCGGTAAATTTTCGAGGATTTTATCGTCGAAATCAGTCCCCTGATTTTTTGATATTTTTCTTTAAAAAAGTGTTTTGTTGTCGCGACGCAGAATGCGATGTTGAGTCCCGACTGGGCCATGAACGGGCACACGATCGTGTACGTGACTAAGGGTGATGCAAAGGTGGAGATCGTGAGCCACACGGGTCAAGCCGTGATGAACGATCGGGTGAACGAGGGGGACATGTTTGTGGTCCCGCAGTACTTCGCGTCCACTGCCCGAGCGGGTAACAACGGGTTCGAATGGGTGGGCTTCAAGACGACTGGCTTGCCCATGAGGAACCAGGCGGCCGGCTACACGTCGGTTATTCGGGCCATGCCGGTTGGGGTGCTTACGAACGCGTATCAGATATCGAGCGAGCAGGCACAAGGGCTGAAGAACAATAGGGGAGGGCAGAGCTACTTGTTGTCTCCAGGTGGGAGGCAGTACTATTAGGTGGCTCTATGTGTCGATGATGTTAGTGATAATGGTAATGGTTGTGCTGCCAGTTAAGTTTGTAAAGTCTTGTGTAAGGGAAAATCTTAGTTTTTTCTGAGTAAATAATGTGGGAGTAGGGATTGCTCAGATGGTTGAGTGATGATGATGTTTGTGGAAATTAATAAGAGTCTCCTCCTGTTTTTTGCTTTTGATGTAAGTATCTCTTTTGGTCTCAATGTATTGTGCATTTAGATTTCCAGTTGTATGATACAATGAGATGGTACAATCAAGTACCCTACAAAATGCTTGGATGAGATGGCTTGAGTCTCTTTCAGCTTAACCAGTGGTCTCGAGTTCGAGCCCTGGGAATGCAGCAGTGTTAAAACTCTTGAGGGAGAGCTTTGCCGCCCTTGTGGTCTTATCCGGCTCGATTCCAGATTAGTCGGTTCCCCTGTAGATCCCGGAAACTGGAAGGTCCCTTACAAAAAAAAAAAAAGTACTACACAAAGATACAATGAGATAGGTATAATCAAGTACCACACAAATTAAGGATAAGATAGGTATAAAAGAGATATATTCCCTCAATTAAAATTACAAGGCTAGAGCTCAATCCTATTTATATTACACCAAGATGTAATCTAGAAACGCACAAACTAACGATAAGATAGGTATAAAAGAGGTACATTCCCCCAATTCAGAGGTGTAGTGCCAACGATGCGGAGCTCATATGCTCTGTTCATCTTGTCGATCCTACGACTAATCGTGGCTTCAGGTCGAGCTTCAACCAAGCTATCCAAGGGATCTAACTCCACCTATTAGTGTTCCTTGGATCCGCGACGTCCTCATCGACCTAAGGATTCTTTGACGTATAACACCTCAATCTCTACTCGACTTGCAAGTTCACCGGTTTGATCCTGTTGTTTCTTGGGTCTAGTCGACCCGATATGGTATCCTATAGGCCAAATTTCATTTTTGGTCCATTATATTGGCCATTTTTCAAAAATGGTCCACTAATTTGGCGGACATCAAACTTGATACAATAAGTCGTAAAATTTATCATTTTTGGTCCATTAATCACTCGGGAGCCTACGTGGCAGACATCAAACTTGTCCACGTATTCGCCCGATAAAATGCCACGTATGCTTATGTACCAAAAATGATGAATTTTACAACTTATTGTACCAGGTTTGATGTCTGTCAAATTAGTGGACCATTTCTGGAAAATGGCCAATATAATGGACCAAAAATGAAATTTTGCCGTATCCTATATCAGAACTCATTTGGGTAGACTTGTAAAAGGGGTTTGTGACGAGTAGATTATGTGTGGAATAATATAGGACCATTGTCTCATTTTGTACGACCTCATGCCATGGGAAACATAATTACAAGCAGGATTTTGGCTATAAGAATTATTGGGTGAATAGGAGATTTACACATATTATGACATTAAGAAATGAGTTTAATTGCATTTCTTCCCGAACAGTGTGCAATGTTGTGTGCAATGTTGTTTGCTTGAGTACGAACAAAAAAATGATGTGTGGGAGAGATGTTGTGTATATCTTTTGTTGGTATCTTTTTGTGTTTTCATGGTCGTCCTTGAGTTCATTTGAGCTCGTTTTATAGGTATTTCAGTCTAGCTATTGGGTTGATTTTACTCGTTTATGTGTTTTTTTGTCGGTTTATTATTTTTTGCATTTTCTTTCTCTTTTAATTTACATTTTACTTTGTAGGACTACGTGCTCCAATTATGCTTGATGTCGACGAGTATGTGACTGGAAACTGGCCTAAAAACTCACTGAAACGTTCTCGACTGGTCAGTGCAACCCTCGCCTAGCCGCACACCTGCACATTACAAAAAAACACTACAATTCCAACAGAAAATTCCAACAGCAAAAATTTTCGTTGGAAATTCTAATGAATATTTCAACAAACTTAATTTTATGTTGGAATAAGTGTTGGATAGTTGAGAAATTCCAACGGATTTTTTCGTTGGAATAGCTGTAGGAATTTATTTCTATAGGATTTTCCGTTGGATATTTGCTATTTCAACGGCCGTTTTTCCAACGGATTTTTATACGTAGGAATATCCGTTGGAATAGCTATTCCAACGAAAATATAAAAAATTCCAACGGAAAATTTTCGTTGGAATGTAAGAGTTTTTTTTTGTAGTGGCA